CTTCAAACAATAAGTCACTTTAATTTCTTCATAAAATAAACTTCAAAACGGAAGTAAAGGAATGTACCTTTATGAAAGGATCCTTGACCTTGGCATTTAAAGCCATCATTGATGTCAGAAACTGCTTGTAATCTTCAGCCCACATATATTATTATTATATATGTGGCATGGATTTGGATCCCGTGTAGTAACTTTGTGGTGAAATTACTACCAAGAAGATCAAATGAAGTTCAGAGTATTATCCCACTTATATGCACAAAGTTCCTACTTTAACACATTAAATGAATATCACAGGATCAAACTCACCAGGATCCAATGGCTCAGCAAATATGTCGTATGCATCTCTCTGGTGAAGAAAAAGTGTGCCATAGTGCCAAACATGAAAACATTCATAATTAGCTTATCATAATTAGCTTATCCTAAACATTTAAACTAACATTTAACCTCAAGCTTACCTTATCAAGTGCATTTTATCATCATTGTCAAGAAACACCCATTCTCGTATAGCTGCATCTCTAGGTGCTCCAGCAGCCCAAAACCGTGTCGTTACCACCTGAGAGTACTCTGGAGAAGTCAAGTGTTGTCGGTTCACACGCCCACATATGTATACTTTACTTATGTTTCTCTAAATTCAAAGATCACAAGTAAGCTTCATTCATGCTTCTCTAGAGAAACTTCCATGATCCGTGTTTTTCTCCTTTTATTTGACTTCTTTTCATGTACTTTTTATTATTATGAAATATATATATATATATATAAAAAAAAATGGTTTCTATTTTGAAAAAACACATCAAAACAGAAACCTCACAAACTTACAATAAACACAAGTTGAGGAAAAAATTAGAAGCAAGAGTGAATAAAAAATGGATAAGAAAGGTATGTTAGTTTTATCATAGTTGAAAAACATGAAGGTACAAGACACATAAAACCTCACATGCCCACAAAAACACAAGCAGGGGAACAAATTAGAAGCAGAAATGAATGCAAAATTAATATTAAAAAGAAACATATGTGTTCCATATAACAGAGTAAATTAAAAAAAAACTGGTCACAAAAATTCTAATGAAACTTGATTTTGGTTTAACTTTTTTGGAAAAAATACAAAATTCAGCGTAACTCGATGTCTAGACTGGGTCAGCAGAGAGATGCTGGTCTAGACCTAGGTTCAGCAGACCGGGTTTAATCTGAGTTTTTTCATCCATGAATAAGGAAAGTTAAAGAAAAATGTCACATGATAAACTAACCTCAACCTATAAGCAAGTACTCGTGTGTCTCTCCAAAGCTCTCAGGACCTTCCTTTTCAGCCAAAGAAGATGCCTCAGACCTAAGAGACCACTGCTATTGAAGGAGCATAAGTTAGAATTCAGAACAAGCTTAGAAAAAATAAAAAAACAATGTGCATGAATTGATGAAATTCACTTTTCCCAACAAGGAAAAAATGGATTAGAATATTTTTCATGAAGACCAACAGAAATGTGCCAGATCTCTTTTGCGTGTCTACTTCCAAACAAGCATTCAAAGAGCATTACATCATTATGAACATTTTAGATCCAACCGAAACCAAGGCTAAGTAGCCCATCAGTTGCGAAAAACTGTTCAACAAAATCACAAAAGCATCAGTGAAATAAAACATGCACTGAATCCACTACTACATTCACATAGGAAAATATTAAAAAGTATCATTGGGAACCTCTTCCTTTGAAGACTTGGAAGATCAAGAGAATGAGAACCCTCTTCTTTCAGCTCCTAAAATATCCAGCCAAAATATGCTTTGTGCTATATAAGATCATAAGTAGATAAGCTCAAGAGATCCATAACAAAAACCATTATTCATCCAAGGTTAAAGGGGCACATTAAAAAGAAACAGAGAGAAACAAAACAACTCCTGTGGTGGCCATCTAAACGCATAAGAACCACTAAGTCTGTCTCCAATTCAGAAACAGGGACTACGCCTCAAACCCATCGTTGGAAAGGGGATGGACAAGGTGATCATTAGTGTATGAGCACTCAGGGCCAGTATTCGGGACAGTTTGCAGTTTGGCAACACTTTCATCTTTTGGAGGATCAGAATGCACTTCATCATTTCCGGATATCAAGCTTAAGCTCGTGTAGGCATCATCACTGTGAACCATATTGGTTCCAGTTACTTTGTGGGCTAAAGTTTCAACATTCCTGTTATCATAGTGTTCAAAGGCATCAACAGAGGCACAATCATGGGACTGCTCTTGATCAGCCATAATATGAGATGATTCATAGTTCAATATGGCATCAACGGTATCAACAGGGGGGGATCTGTGTAAGCAACATCAATATGGTGGGGAGGGAGTGTTAAGACTTCCAGAGCGTTAACTGGGGCATAGACCTCAGTAGTATTACCGGGGGGCAACCGTGTCACACTCCATTGTGGCAGTATAATCACAGGGGGAAACTGTATCACACGCCACCATGTCACAAAAGGCCTAACAAGATCATCAAAAGCAGCAGTGGGTGGGGGGGGGGTCAACACAAGTAATAATAGGGACAGGGGCCTGATTGGGGGCATACTCACAAGCCTGAATATAAGATTTTTCCAAGGCAACAACCTGGGGGGGGGGGGGGTGATATCAATACCAGCCGGAACATATCCTTCCAGGCTATTGTCATGTAGAGAATGGGGTATCTCATCATTGGCCTTGACAACCTCTGGAGGTTTTCCCAAGGTCCGGGGGACAGTCTGTGTGGCGTATTCCATGATCATTTAAAGGGGCACCAACTCGAGTAGGAAATCTGGACAGGTTGAGAAATAATTCCCTTACACCCAGAAACCTCAGCAAGATCAAGCATCACTGGTTTTGAACAATTTCTGCCTGTATATTCAAAGCGAGAACAAGTGGTGCAGAAAACAGGCAATTTTCGTATGTCACTATTTAAAAAAACTAAAATAACATATATATATATATATATATATATATATATATATATATATATATATATATATATATGTGTGAGTGTGTGTGTGTGTGTGTGTGACAAACACGTACAGGCCGCCTTATGACCCCAAATAGAAAGAGCTACAATTTGATTATCCTCAGAAAACATTTCATCACTGGACAATTCGGGGGCCAATGTAGCATCTGAAGATTGTGGATCAGAAAGAAACTCATCATTTCCAGTTTGGAACTCACAAATTACCAACAGCTGATCAACTCCCTCAGTTACCTCCTTTTCACAGGTAGCCACCGAGGGTTGATCTAAAGCACAAGCTGCCTCAGGGACTGCAGATTGTGTGCAAATAGAGGAACAACCAAAGGCATCACAATTAGCATTAACACATGTTTGGTTAACCTGGGCTTCAACAGGGGAGTTACCGGGGCATTAGCATAAAAGGAATCAGTTATAACATTCACAACCTTGTGCCAAGCAATATCAGTTTCAACCAGCCCAAGATTAGGGGCTTCAAAATCAATGGGTGAGACTTCCATGGACTATTCTAGCACGAGCATGAACAAGTTTAGGAGTTTCAAAATCACAAGCTTAGCTAACCTGGAAATCAACAGAGACAATTACAGGGCCATCACAAGACTTAAGGGGATAAAAAAGCACTGGACAACCTTCTGGCCAACCAAATCAATATCAAGCTTCCCGAATCTTGGGGTTTCGAAAACCAAGGAAGCACTTCCACGAACAATTATACGAGTATCCAAAGCTATAGGGACATCAAAAATCTTATTTGCATCAACCAGACTACCTTTAGGGACTTCAATAACAATAGGGGCAACCCTGGGTCTCCAAAATACAATTAACCTCAGCACGAAGCATCATAGGTTTAGGAAGTTAAAACGGGAAGAAGGAAATAATCATTCGCTCTCGTTTTGTAACTCTTTCTTTTTCGGCCATTAGGGAAAGTACCTACCAGAGCGAATCGGAAGTTTACAGATGGCACCTGGATGAAGGAGTCGCTAAAATTAACAGATGGAGAACCTTTGAAACGACCCGATTAGGCTTGTGCGAGCTGTAAATCGACATCGAAGAAGGAGATCGGTTGAGTGTGCAGTCGGTGGCCGGGGATAGGATCCCACCACCGCTGCATAGTTGAGCCTCGATTTGCTGGCCACCAGACTACGAGAGGTGGGAAGCGAGAGCGTACACTGGAGAGGAGATAGTTAGATGTACCGTGTACGTATACTGAGGAGAAAGAATGAGAGGTGGGAAACATACCACGCCATCAACGGAGGCAATAGACGGGAAGTCAAATGCCGACATTGTATACACGGTAAAACGACCATCTAACGTCCAGTGGCGCTTTACATTTTTAGTAGATTTCTATAATAATAAGAAGCAGATACATCTTGATCTTGTGTTTCATCTCACATTTCTGTCCTAATCCCGATTTTAGCTACGTGTTGTTATTTTTGCATTGTATTTAAGCCAATCCTGACCAAATATTTCACGTCAGTCTTATAAACTATTTTTTAAAGATAGTCAGACGTACGCTAAAACCGGGATTACGCGGTTGTCAAGAAGTCGTTAGGATTTGTCCGATTTCTTTTTATAAGTAGACGTATTTATATGACACTTATTGAATCCATGACCTTATGTGACGATTTCGTAATAGTAAAAGACCACATTTGAGACTTTTCTCAAATTTAAATAAATCATACCAGAATATATCAGATTTAGACTATGAAGTAGTAAGCTAGTAAAGACGTAAAGTACACATACATATACCTTAATACCTACATGTCTACATTTAACAGAATCAAATCTAAACAAATGGTATAAAAAAAATATTACTCCAAACAAAAATATTTGAAGTTAAGCTTATAACATTAGAATTTAGAAGAAAGCATCCCTGGCTTGTTGGTAATCCGAAGTAAGATAATTTGACGTAAGAAAACAATAATTGAATCAAGTTAAGAAATGAAAGACTTGCGGTGGGAATAAGTAGGTAACGTGTGTCCCCAGCGTTTCCATTCTGGTTAATCACAACAAACACTTGATTTCATGATACTTTCACTACATTTCACTGTTTTCCCTCTTTAAGAAAGACTTGAATTCCTGTTTCTGGGTTGACATAAAATACACTTTACCAAAATTCCTTTCTCCTAGCCCAACAAAGTCAAACCATTTCTCCATTTTTCCTTCTCTGTGCTCTGTTCTCCATTACTCCTTCTGGGAATCATTCCAGTGTTCAACAAAAACATGTTCATCAAAATTTAATGAAGAAAAGGAAAGGCAAAAGAAGAAGAAGAAGATGACGTATCATCCTCATAGCTGCAGATTCAGCCGCACAAAGCTGCACATTTTCTCCACCACCAGCCTCGCCGCCGCCATTGCTTTTGTCATCTTTTTCTCTGACACCTTCATCGACACATCAACCCCAGCTTTTCCCAGCCAGAAGAATCCTAGAAGATCCAAGCCGTTGAATTCGATCAAAGAGGACTACTTTATCCACACCCAAGCTTCAGCCCGCCTGGTTCCGCCTTCTAATCTCACTGCCAGAGAGAGAATGAAATGGTTCAAGAACAGCTTCCCTCAATTTGGGATCTTCAAGTCAAATGAGAAGTCAAGAAAGTTCCATCAAAGGGTCAAAGAGTTTTATAACAGAAACAGAGAGTGTAAAGTTAGGTTCTTTATGACATGGATAGCCTCTACAGATTCTTTTGGAACAAGAGAGTTCTTATCAATGGAGAGTATCTTCAAAGCTCATAAAAAAGATGGGTGCTTGATCATTCTTTCTCAATCTCTGGATTCAGAATATGGGAAAGCACTTCTTGATCCCCTGATTGAATCAGGATTTGCAGTAATTGCGTTAATGCCCGATTTACCCTTCCTGCTCAAGAACACTCCAGTTCAAGATTGGTATACTGATCTGAGAAATGGCAAGAAAGACCCTGGGGAGATACCCTTTGCTCAGAACCTGTCAAACCTGATCAGGCTGGCTGTTCTTTACAAATACGGAGGGGCATTTCTGGACACGGATTTCATAGTGATGAAGAACTTTTCTGGACTGAGGAACGCCATTGGGGCGCAAAGCGTGGATCTTTATGGGAACTGGACGAGATTGAACAATGCAGTGTTGGTTTTTGACAAAGGGCACCCTCTGATATACAAGTTCATGGAGGAATTTGCCTTGACGTTTGATGGGAACAAGTGGGGGCAAAATGGTCCATATTTGGTGTCAAGGGTGGTGGAGAGAGTTCAGAGTCAATACCCTTTCAGATTTAGGGTTTTGCCTCCAATGGCTTTTTATCCTGTGGATTGGCTTCATATTGATGGGTTCTTTAAGAAACCAATGGATGAGAAGCATGAGAAATGGATGGAAGCAAAGATGGCTCGCTTAAGGGAAGAAGAGACTTATGGAGTTCATCTTTGGAATAGGCAAAGTAGGGGAAAAAGGATTGAGAAGGGTAGCATTATAGGTAGGATTTTCTCTCAAAATTGTATCATCTGCAAAGGTATTTATGATTCTTAGCTTGAAGATTATATGTATGTAGTATATCATTTATTTATAAAAGAAGCTTGCAAGAGTGTAATAATGTGAATGTAATTTTGTTTACAAATCCATCATAGTTCATACATATATAGAGTGTTTCCTAGCTGATTTTAAGTGTGCATACAACCATAGATTAAATTAGAATTTGGGACTGGTTTCTGTTTAATCTTTTGTTATATCATTATTCAGTTCTTGATATAAACAAGTTGAGTTAAGCTTGAAGATGTGTAATCCTGAGTTGAGCTTAGAATAATTGTGTGATCTCCAGTTAAGTTTGAACGAGTTTTACTTTGTACCATCTATATAGCAAATCGATCCGAACTCAAGTTCACATTGAAGCCAAAAAATTGTTTATATTTTTAAAGGAAAAATTGTTAGTAATAATCCCAACTATTGGCGGTCCGCTCATAATAATCCCAACTATTGATTATTACAGAATAATCCCAACTTTAGGGACCTTCCGCCAATAATGGTCCCTATGAATAAATTCTTGTAGTTTCTAAAGTGGATGAGATGAGATATAACAAGTAATCCCTATAAATAATCTCAACTTTTAATTTTTACGCTTAATTTCTATTTAAAATTCACTTTTTATAGAGGTAATATATGGTCATGGACCATTATTGGCGGATAGTCTATATAGTTGGGATTATACAAAAATAATCAATAGTTGAGATTATTTTCAGCGGACCAGCAATAGTTGGGATTATTGTTTTCAATTTTTCCTATTTTTAAACTATTAATATTAGACTAACCCTCACTTAAATTTTCTTAGTGCAAATCATAATGTATACGAAGTACATTTTTCAATTTATACACACACATATTTATTGCACGTACATAGTTACACATACTGCTTTATTCTAATTTTGTCTAATTTAGAGAGCGTTGAGTTTGGAGGACTCAAAGTCCACTGATCAGTTTACAAATCTAAAAAACACACCCAAACACTTTAATGGAGCTGCTGTAATTGATTTCTATTTACTGATTTCTATTATCGGCTGAAAAAGTAACATCAGGTATACATTTTCAGCTGATTTATACTTCTTATTTTTTACCATTGAAAGGTTAAAAGACTATTTTATCCTCTACTATATTGGAATTTCCCATCCAAATGTTCTTGATTGCATCCTTTCTTCTGCAGCTCCTGTTCTTGACTTTCAAGAGTTCTCTTCTAGAGGTAAGCTCTCTTTAGTTCTTCTCAGCTGCATAATTTCTTCTTTCCACATACACTTGCACCTTATCATTCTTTTCTAAAGTAGTAATGTAAACCAGCACCTGATGCACAATTATAAAATAAACAAATGTCTTTATATTTGGGAGCTTATAGCAACCAGCTATATGTAATGGAACAAGGAAATAAAACAATAAAACAAAATTTCCACACTTGAAAGCTTAGTTTTTGTATTTTTTATTTGTTTTTAACCTGCCATTTGCAAGAACCCTGATTTTGACTAAAACTTTCAATTTTTTTTTGTAATTGAAGTTTTCTGTGAAGGTAATTCCCGTAGTATCCAAATCTTACTTTGGTTTTCTCTTTTCAATAACACACATATACTTTAAACATGCACAATTGTCAATTCGGATTTTCTGTGAATAAAATAATACGTAGTACTACATTATTGAATCACTCAATTCACCCAATATATCATCAAAATTGAAGAACTCCCTTTAGTCTGTCCCTAAATAAAAGACAATAAAAGACACTGTTTTTTTTGTTGTCCCCATATAAAAGGCACATTTCCCTTTTTGACAAACAAAACCGTGTAAAACAGTGTAAAACAGTGTCTAAACAACATTCCTTCCTTAGGATGTGTGCCTGTCAAAGTATGTATTTTATATAGGGATGGAGGGAGTATATAACTAGTTCAAAGTTCAAACCTATGTTACAAGAACTGGACCGGTGATCGACTAGGACCAATGACCGGGTCAAGGGTCAGCCCGGACCCAACGGGTCAACCCGGTCAACGCCGGAAAAACCCGGTCAACATTTATAAGTCATTATATATATATATATTAATATGAATATTTAATATATAGAATTAAAATAAAAGGCAATTATTTTTCATAATAATCTAATTTTAATACTAGTAATCATTGAAAGCACCCTCATAAAATATCCTAAAGTATAATTAGTCCCACTTATAGCAATAATGTTATTTGATTTGGTTTTTAAAAAACATGTAAATAAATATATTTATTACAAAATCTTAAAAATATCATATAATTTATACTACAATAAACCGAAACTTTGTATACTCCGTATGTACATAATTTATAACCACCAATTGATATAGAAAGATGTAACTTTTGATTTCATGTGTTCAAATGTTTGTAATTAAAATAAGTAAATTGAAATTACTGTTTGGCTGAAGTGACTGACAGCGTATTCCTGAAATACTAGTAAACAACTCGCACACACTCCCTTTCCAAAAAAGATCAATACTCCTAGCACTACACTTAGATTTATTAGATTTGTTGCTAAAATATCGGTATTCCACCCGAAACTCCCAACAGATAACCAGTGACCGAAAGAAAGGAAAGGATTGGTTACACTTTTCATAACTAGTCTTCATTTTATGTTTCTTTATTATTGGTAAATTCTATGGTACCAATAAGGTACTATACATTTGTCCACGTGAACCAATGAGAATGTAGCAGTTGAATTATTTAAATCTAAATTAAAAATGATAAAATGATGTGGTTCAATCAAATGAATGATAGATACAGTACCCCATATTTTAGAAAGATACTGGAATTGTCACCTTATTTATTTACTAAGGAAATACTACACATACTCTAGTTACAAATTTTCTATAATTAAGCATATCAATCAATGAAACTACTTCAATTTTTGTAGCTTTAGTCATTCATCAGTCACTTTCATGTGACTAACCCGGTCCAAACCGATCCAAAACAGCTAAGGACAGATGTAGAAAATGTTTATTCAATATGCATGGATTTAATAACCAGATATAGAAGGGAGAAAAAATTTAAAATTTAAAACTCGTATCCTTCGTAGAATTGAGGGCAATATTTTGTCATTTGTGAGTGGCATGTTTTTTTTATTTTTTTGAGAAATTGTGAGTGGCAAGAATGATAATTAGACTTTGATATCATGAACCCAACAACCGAAAAAGATCATTTACTTCACTGAACACTAAATTATCTATCTTTTCTTCTAAAAACTGCCCCACTAAGTTCCTTTTAAAACAATCAATCGATTATTAATTATTTGAATTAGCTTCTAAAAACAGGGGATTAGGGCCGACAACACTATATTCAATAGCACGGGGACTTTGTACGGAAGTAATTACACGTGTCGACATAACAAAGGAGCGTGGTACACTGTCATCATAAAGAAGTAAAGAACCAAGTCATTCGTGAGCTGCTTCAAGATAGTACGGAAAATATCGACTTGAGTTCGACTATATTCAATTACTAGCAAAACTCGGCTCAAGATTGAGTTCATGCCTGAATTATGTAACTCTTCCAAGTTCGAGATCATGAATTCTTATCAAATTCGAGCTCAAATACACTCATGCAGGCCTGCACTCATGTTCAAGCTGAGTTCGGCGAATTTGCACCCGTACCGGTACTCTTTCTATCCATGTTTCGATTTCATATATTCCCATAATGTATTTTTTTACCCTAGTGGGCGTCGGGGGGGGGGGGAGGGGGGTTTGAGAGTTGGGGTAAACTGGAATCAATCCCACTTAATAACAGAGATCATTTAACTTTATGATCAGTCAAACATCGTAAATCGTGTGGAAACCTTAAAGTGGGACCCGTGGCGGAACCAGCTCGGGGAGCTAGGAGGGGCACTTAATGGGAAACGAACATCTCCGAAAGATATTGTTGCATCCATTATCTAGAATATACTACATATATATGTTATTATAGAAAGGAATATCTTGAAAAGTAAACTGAGAAATCACAATTTTAATTACATACAAGATCAAATGAGATTTTTTATGAAACCAAAAAGCAAGAAATTAAATATGATGTGTCAATTTGATGAGAAAGCTGTTATAGCAAAATTGTGATTCCTACCCATGCACTAGAGAGCTAAATGGTACATCACCAAAATTTGAATACAGATATTTAAAGAAATTTTAAATTAATTTAGAGCTTTAAAAAGACACAAAAGTAAAGCAAAATATAAAAATCACTAAGGCGGGATTCGAGCCCTCAACCTTTATATAATCCTAAGACAGACTCACACACCTCCTCCACTCTACTACAATGACTTCTTGTTAATATAGTGGTTATTTATTTATAACACACATATTTTATAAATATTTACAATTTAAAATTTTATATTTAATATATAATAAAAATAATAATAATAATAATAATAATAATAATAATAATAAAATGCAGGCACCCACGTAGCAGGACGGCCGGGTCAAAGAACAAGCCGAAACCGCCGGTTATCATCACGCGGGACAGCGCGAACGCGCTTAAAGCACACGCGATGGAGGTCATCGGCTCCGGCTGCGACGTCAACGAGAGCCTCCAGAGCTTTGCTTGGAGAAAGCAACGGGGAATATCGGTCCTGAGTGCGACGCGGTCCGTCACAAATGTGACGTTGCGTTAACCGGCGTCCTCTTGATCGATCGTGATCCTCCACGGGAGGTTCGATATTGTATCTTTGCTCGGCCTGATTCGGCCACCTCCGGCCCCGCCGGGGGTGACGGGCTTGACCATATACCTTGCCGGAGCACAGTGGCAGGTGGTGGGCCGTGTGCGGGAGCGCGGTCGGGGCACTTATCGCCTCCGGCCCGGTCGTGATCATGGCCGCAACTTTCTTCAATGCCACTTATGATAGGCTGCCATTGCATGATGATGACCAACAAGTCATTTCCACGGCCAACCACCACCACCAAAACGGCGGCGGCCATCAGAATGTGGAGGTTTCCGACATATATGGGTTGCCACTTAGTCTGATTAGTGGTGGCCTATGTAGCACCGATACGGGTACGGAGAAACGCGGAAACGGGTACGGGATACGAAAAAACCAAAAAAAAAAGTAGAATACAGGGTCATATTTATAGATATTAAAAGTCATGGGGTGTATTTATAAATATTAAAAGTTACAGGGGTGTATTTATAAATATTAAAAACACGATTTTTTTAAAAAAATTATTATCCT